GGGATATCAGTTGGTAGACCTCCAGGGTTGGGGAGATCAGTAGGAAGACCTCCAGGGATAGGAATAGGTACATCCGTAGGAAGGGCACCAATGCCACCCCCACCCAAGATCGAACTGACAAGTCCTCCAGTGTTGGGGATATTAGAAGGTAGGCCGCCAATGCCGCCTCCGCTGGGGACGAGGCTATTGACAGGTGGCGTGGTCTGTTTTATGTTAGGGACATTCAAATTGTTTGGTGGTCCGCGGGATCTTTGACACCCTCATTTTACGATTGTCTTCAACAGCTGATACGTGTGTTGATGTCTCGGCGCAGAATCGGAAAATGCTAGCATCGCGGACACGTCACGCGCCGTACTTGGGCTTAAGAAATTGCACTCACCTGATCCGACCCTCTGTGATATACCACTGCCTTTCCTGGCGCTCCGCACTGTTGGCCTTGGCTTCCAAGCAATAGGCCTCCGCAAGGCGTGAAGCAATCGTTTTGGACTAGCGTTTGCGTAACTGTAGCTGGGCAGAGACAGAAATCAGTATCATAGATAACAGCGTAATTAACTGGCAAGAGGATGTTCGCTGTATTGCATATTGTCTGGCAGACGGTCGCATCCATGGTCTGGCCCAGGGGTGCTGTCTGAAGCAAACTGCCTAGTCCATCCACGTTCACATCTGAATAGCAGCCCTGGAAGGTCCAGCCCCCGGCCAAGGGATCTAGGATCGGATCTAAGGTGTTCCCGATCAGGCCACCGGTACCTCCACCAGCTGCGCCAGATGGTGCTGGTGCTGCTCCGGAGAGTTCAGGAATCGTTCCGCCTGGAAGACCCGGAAGTGTCCCACCGCCTGGAAGACCCGGAAGTGTCCCACCGCCTGGAAGACCCGGAAGTGTTCCACCGCCTGGAAGACCCGGAAGTGTTCCACCGCCTGGAAGACCCGGAAGTGTTCCACCGCCAACAGGAGGCGTGATGACTGGCTCAATCGGGGTTGTTCCGGCGCCAGGAAGACCAGGAAGTGTTCCATCACTGGGTGTGGTGGCGCCGCCTGGCGGAACAACACCAGATTCGACAGGCAGAGCAATACCAGAGTTGACAGGCGGACCAACACCAGATTCGAGAGGCGGAGCAACGCCAGAGTTGACAGGCGGACCAACACCAGAGTTGACAGGCGCACCAACACCAGATTCGAGAGGCGGACCAACACCAGAGTTGACAGGCGGAACAAAACCAGAGATCACAGGCGGGCCAAAACCAGACCTGACAGGCGCACCAACACCAGATTCGAGAGGCGGACCAACACCAGAGTTGACAGGCGGAACAAAGCCATCTATTGGTGTGGAGCTTGCTACCGGAAGTAGATTCTATGTGTTGTCAGGGGAATGCAAACTATCAAAGACCTGCAACTAGCACTCACCGTACCTGAACCCCTACCCCACACTACAGCTTTCCCTGGCGCTCCGCACGACTCGCCGGAACTTCCAAGCAGCAGACCACCACAAGGTGTGAAGCAGTTGTTCTGATCTAATGTACGCGTGATTGTGCTTGGACAAAGACAAAAGTCGGTATTGTAGATGACGGCGTAGTTCGCGGGCAATAGAATGTCCACTGTGTTGCAGATCGTCTCACAGACTGTGGCGTCCATAACTTGACCCAGCGGCGCACTACGAAGCACACCGCCCAGCTCATCTGTATTCACATCCCCATAGCAGCCACGGAAGGTCCAACCATCAGCCAAAGGATTTAAGATTGGATCCGCGATGGAACCGATCAGGCCCCCTCCTCCTCCAGTACTGGCAGTCGGCGTCGCTCCACCACCAAAAAGACCACCCAAACCCAGTTGCCCCGCGGCTGACGCCACGAAGGGCGCAAGCGCGAGAGCTCGTGAGATCACTGCGTGATGCGCTTAGTTCCTGACCCTATAGATCTGCCAGGCAGACTCACTATTCGATCCAACGTTATATGAGTGTTGTTATTCGTATTCGGATCCACCATGCAGCAAGTGAAAAAGAGTGACGACAGAGGGTGAAGCTTCAGGGGCGAGAGGTTTTGCTTATTTGAGGGGACGGCTGTGCCGTGTAATGCGTGGTGGAATTCTGACATTCGAGACCGTGCGCCAATCATTGCACGCGGAGCCAGTATACTGTCCCACGATACAGAATATCCATGACGAGCTCGATTTATTGAATCTGTACACTTGCATTCCGGCTAGTCAACGCCCCGGGCCATGTGTGCGGAATGCTGTACCAACTCCGCGTGCCCTGAAGGTATTTGGAGCCGTTAGTCATGAAGTCTGTCCTGAGGTAGAAAAAGAATGCAAATGCAATATATCGCTATCATCGCGCCATATATATATGATTGCAGCGGATGAGCGCAGCTGCCTTTATATAGGATATATATTAGGCCGAGATGCATTACAAGCTCAACGCTGAGGTACTCCAAATGTCACTTCCACTGAAGTACCCTACTCGCAGAGAGGTTGCATTGCACGTGTGTATTTCACATTCCGGATAATCGCATCGGCTGCAGGCCACTTCCGACGATTGGTACATTCTGAGATAGCGTCAATGGATTCAATGCTGAATTCCCGCCTACAAGGGAATTGGATCTCCCGTCTCAAAATTCTGCACTCTCACATGAAATTCGCATTGGGCTGATGTGTTTACCAATCGAGGGCGAATTGCTAACCTTGAACGGCCTAGCCAGCTGCTCGTGGAGGTATCTCACAATATTGAGCAGACGCAGACGTGGGATCATTTCGGGATCGAGACACCATTAGTATATACTACCGACGAATCTGCCAGCATCTCAAAGTGAAGACATGCATACATGATAGGACGAGAACCAGCCCGTAGATGCCCGTATCCAAAGCCCAACCTGGGGCAATATGTACCACAACTCTTCATCACACGTGCCTAGACCTCCTCTGGCTTCTCCTGCTTGCTCTTTCCCTTCCACACTTGCTCTGAATCTCTGGCACCTTTCCCTTCCCATAGAACTCTTTCCCAAAGCGCTCAATCTCTTTGGTCAAGCTCGAGTGCGTGCGCTCCGGCCTCGGCTGCTCACACCCCACCAGCACCTTTCCCACGAATTGTGCATTGAACGCCTCGACAAACGCCTTCCAACCATTCGCAGGCTTCCCTTGCAAAAGATGGTCGCAGATCCAGGCGCGCTCCTCGCGCACATAGGGCTCCACCTCGAGGCGAAAGCGGACCTCCGTGTTGCGGCGTATCTGCTGGCTGACGCGCTTGTTCAGGGCGGTGATGGCCTTCTGGTCGTTCCAGTCCTTGGGTGGCGGGTTCTTGAAAATCATTTTTCGGCCGTCCTTGGAGGTTAGGCGCACGAGGAGCTTGTGCTTTTGGTCTTTGAGGGTGCCGTCGGCGAGGCGTTCCCAGCGGCCAGGCACGAACTGATCGAAGGAAGGCTCGGTCGGGAAGTCGGCATCGTTGGAGTAGTCGGATGCGGCCGAACCCCACTGGATGTTGCGGAAGAGCTCCGGCTTCGTGGTTGTGGAGGAAGGAGCGTCGCCATCGAGAGAGTCCGCGTCGCTGTCGTAGACGTCGGAGCTGGCCTTGGTGGCGCCTAGGATGAGGAGTGCGTCTGCAGCAAGTTTTGGGTCGACGATACGCTGCTTTCGGGCTGCCAGGGCAGATTTCAAGATGATACCGTTGTTATGCCCGAGCTTGAGCTTCTTGTGTGATGGTGGACTGAACGGCATGCCTAGAGAAGCGTTAGCTGAAATCCTGACACCTTGCTTTACCCCAAGAATGACATACCTGCTAGAGATATGGCAGCCTCTAGCTCTTCCTTGCTGTAGTTCGCGATGCGAGCAGCGGAGAGCCCGGTCTCCTTGACCAAATGAGCCCTGAGTCGGTCCAGGGTGTCCGCATCCAGGTGGGAAGCATCGCGCTTCCTGGCTCCGGTGACCCAAATGGTGTTGCGGACGAAGTTTATATGGAGCTTGATGCCGGAAGCACCCTGGACGAACTCTGGCTTGGTCACAATGGATCCAGCCATTGCGAAAGAATTAGAGATGTAATGAAACAGAGAAGTTGACTGCTGAGGAGACGAAGCCTGCTCGCAAAAGCGGCTTCCTATACACCAGGAGGCTGGAAACGGATCTTATTGTGCCCATCGTAACTATTGTGCTTGCAATTCGAAGAGTTGGAGTGAAGTGAGTGGTGACCAAATTGGTGAGTGATAAAAACCTTATGTTGACCAACCAGCCGTCAAGAATCGGAGGACTGGCGTTAGTGAAGACGTCTGAACGTCGCTTTTGTATTATGGAGACGCTATGTCAGATGAGACGAGTTCATCTGCTATTATTATTGTGCCGAATTCGCTATTGCGGTGCGACTGTGGGAATCAACACCTTAGTAAGTTGGGCGGTGGCCTCCGTTCGTAAAACCCACCCTATGTAATATCAGGCCAACTCAGCGCGACCTTCGATTGCGAAATGCATTGCTGTAGTCTGGCGTGACTTAAATGAGGTAGGTCTGGTAGCAAGAAACTGCGCCAGTAATTGTATAGATATGGCCAAATAGATAGTTAAATTTGATCAGTCTATATGCAATATGCTCGATAAACGCCCTTTGAGATGCTGTATATCCCCCTCCCCATCACGCCAGCATCTGATGCAGCGCATTGACGCGATAACTCTCACTCCGTTCTACCAGCTCCTCATGCCTCCCTTGGTCCACGACCTTGCCAGTTTCTACCAAGAAAATGACATCTGCCTTTGCGATTGTCCGGAGACGATGAGCGATCGCTATGACCGTAACGCCCTGGCCCTTGACAGCTCGCTCGAGACCTACTTCCAACGCCTTCTCGCTTTCTGCATCGAGCGCACTAGTGCTCTCGTCAAGTAGAAGGAGCTTAGGCTTGCGCACAAGGGCACGCGCAATAGAGAGACGTTGACGCTGGCCGCCGGAAAGCTGGTTACCGTTGGCGCCACAATCTGTGTCATAGCCTTGAGGAAGGCTTATGATCGTCTCATGGATGTTTGCAAGCTTGCAGGCTTCTTGGATCTCTTCATCGGTTGGGGAGTGGCCGGGTCTTGCGCCAAGGGACAGGTTGAATTTGATGCTACCTTGGAACATGACGTTATCCTGAGGTACGTATGCGATATCGTCCCGGAAGGAGGTGTTCCGATGCCGCGAAATATCGAGTCCATTTAGAAGAACTTGACCCGACGCCGGCGTGTAAAACCGCTCCAGCAGTGCAAGGATGGTGCTCTTTCCGGCACCGGAAGGGCCTACCAGAGCGTAGAATTTCCCTGGTCGGATCGAAAGTGAACAAGACTGCAAGACAGGAGCGTTCGGTCGAGCTGGGTATGCAAACGTCACATCGCGGAACTCTACCGTTGCGCCACCTTCAGCTGATAAGGGGACTGCTGAGTCAGCAAAGGCTTCGATATCCTTCTTCTCATCGAAGTCAATTTCGTCTGGCGTTGTTCGTCCTGATGGGGTCTGAGCATTTTCGCTCTTGAGCTCGATAAGACCAGCGACTCTTGAGACCGCGCTCTTCGCACGAGCGATTTCAGGTGCAAGGGTGAACAGCTGGCCCCACAGTTGGGCCGACACGAGCATGGCTACGTTAATGAAGAAGAACTGTGCCTGAGAGTATCTGCCCTCCAAGATGTTCTTTGATCCCCACCAATACGCGAAAGCATACAGGGCGCTTCCGATAGAGTTGGCGATGGCTAGCCAGAAGTTGGTCTTGAAGCACTGCACGACCATTTCTCTACGTGGACCTTGCAACGAACGACGGTATGTACTTAGAATCTCTTCTTCCAGAGACAATGCTGCAACGGTCCTAATGTTAGTGACAGCCTCCACCGTGACACCAACTGAATCGGAAAAGGCACCAGCATGCTTCTCGGCATAACGTGTGAGGGCACGGAGCTGCATGAAACCGGCTCCCAGGAGGATCGGTACGATGGCCAAGCATACGATAGCGATGCGCCACGCTACGATATGCGCTGCGATAATAGCCGCTAGAAAGTTGACGCATACGGAAAACAAGGTACCGATGATAGATCCACTAAGACCGGCAAGAGAGTTCCCATCGTCAGTAATATACCCGAGCAACTTGTTCGGACTCCGATTGCTGGATTCATGCCATTGTAGAGGTTGTTGCAACAAGGAGTGCAGTGACAAAGATCGCACCTTGTAGAGCAACCGCTCAGCGACAAGGCCGAAGAAGAACCAACTGCCGAAATATGCAAAGAACTCAACGCAAGCAATCATGAAGTAGAGACCTGAGAACAGCAGGCCTTTTGAGCGGATGTAGTCAGGAGTGTGGCAAGGCGAGAAGGCGCCGAGCGTGTTACCAAAGACTGCACCACTTGACGTATAGGTTCCACCGACAATAGTGGCCGCAAAGAAGGCCAGTATAAGCCACAGAGTATACGGTCGTAGGAGAGGTCCCATCGTCCTGAGCAGAGTGTGGCTAACGATCGCAGCGTCTTCTTCCTTGGCCTGTTCGGTATCTAGTTGCTCATCGGGTCCGCCCTTCTCGGCGGCCTTTGCTTCTTTTGGCTGTTCGATCGCATCTGCATCTTCCTCCATCACACTAGACTTGGAGCTCCCAGCGCTATCCGTAGGCTTGACGGACTGTAATCGAACCATATCTGCATAGGATCCGTTTCGTTCGATGAGCTCGTCGTGCGTACCCTGCTCAAGAATCTCGCCCTTCTTCATGACGACGATCTTACTGGCCGCTCTAATCGTAGAGAGGCGATGGGCGATAGCGATGACGGTCCGACCTTCAGATGCCCGTTCGATAGAGGCTTGGATCCTCTTCTCACTTGCCGAGTCCAGTGCCGCTGTAGCCTCATCCAGGAGTAGAATTTTCGGGTTTCGGACAAGTGCACGAGCAAGAGCGATTCTTTGTTTCTGTCCACCGCTGATAAGACTCCCACTGGATCCCACTGAGGTTGCAAGGCCATAATCTAGACGGTCTATGAATCCCATAACATCTGCTAGGCCGGCTGCATCTTCTACCAAACGGAAGATTTCAGACACTTCAGGACCAGCAGCCTCCACGCATTTGGAAAGCTGTTGACCGTTTCTGGTATCTTCAGCCACCTGCTTCAAGGCACCGGAGAGCAAAGTTTTATGCAAGTGCGCGTGTAATGTGGAGTTGACGAGACCGAGAGCGATGTTTTCCAGTATGGAACGATCAAGCAAGGACGGTTCCTGTGGTACAAGGCTAATATTACCACGCAAAGCCTTCACATTTAAGTCCTTGAGATCAATACCGTCGAGGGTGACTGCGCCGTTGTGTGGATCGTAAAAGCGAGTCAAGAGCGCAGCAATCGTTGATTTACCACTGCCTGAGAGTCCGACGATAGCAGTAAGCTTTCGGGCCTCGCACTGGAACGATATATTGTTGAGAACAGGGTGTTCGGGCCTCGAAGGGTAAGTGAAAGAGATATTGCGGAACTCGACACTTCCGTAGATATCTTCAGGCGTTTGACCGGCGTCCGATGTCCCGGCTATGGCTGGCTGATGCTCAATGTCCTTTCGGAGCCGTTCAAAGGCCGATACGGCACCTCCAAAGATTGGTAGTAGAGGAGCGACTTGGCTCAGCACAATGGCACCTGACTTGTGTTAAGAAGCGGAGCATGATGGAGACGATAGTACTGACCATCAACGAGAATGAAAATGACCGTGTAGATCGCACCAGCAGACGCCCCGGAATCGCCGCCGGATTCAATAGATGAAGCGATCTTCCTGCTGCCCTGCCAGTATGCTAGTGCATTTGCTGCGAAAGCAATGAAATACAATGTTCCAGCTTGGACTGCAGATGCCGTTGCTTTGCTGGTCCCTTCTTTCTTAGCCTCGCCCAGGTAACCTCGATATTTCTCCTCCAAACGATCCTGTGCGCCGAGCGCGTGAACGAGACCGACGTGACTAAGCGCTTCGGATGCAATGGCACTGGCTTTCCCGAAGGCGTCGGAAACTCTGCCGGAATACTTCTGTGTGAAGTATCCTCCTACCAGTGTCATGAGCAGGAACGCGGGTATAAGTGAAATCAGCATGCCAGCCAACTCAGCGTCCTTAATAAATGCAATCACATAGGCAGTGATGCAGAACGTGACGCAGGTAAGGAAGACGCCGACTTTCTCGGAAGTTCCGGTCTCGATTGCTTGGATATCTCCATTGAGCCGCGAAGAAACCTCTCCAGCTTGCAGACTATCGAAAAATTCGATGTCTTGGCCCAAGATACTCTTGAGGTAATGATCTCGAATGCGCTGGCCAAGTCGTTGTGAGGCTATACTCCAGCACACGCAATGGGTGTATATGCAAGCAAAGGTGGCCACGGAGAGGTAAAAGAGGATCAGGACTTTGGAATTGATCGAGGATTGCAGGTCTCCAGTCGAGCCTGTGTCGCTGCCGTCGCATGTCGCGGTATTGAGGTCATCGATTAATTGACCAAAGATGATTCCGACGAGCGGAAACGGCACGCCAGCTGCTGTAGCAGCAATTGCGCCTACAACGACAAGAAAGACGTCCACCCACGTCGGGTTGGCGTAGAACAAAAGCCGGAAGAAGGCGGTAAAGCGCTTCAAAGATGCTCGGGAAGGCCTCTTGACGGCCATTTGGCATGCAAAGGCAGGTCACCAAGACGCTGCGATGAAGGGAACGAGATGTTGACGTGAGGCTCTCGCCTGCAGACGCGTTGGCAGTGGGTGCTAGGGCGCTGTGGACCCCCGGCTAAGGGCCCGCTGGGCGCCATGGCAGATTGGCTGTGCTACGACTGTGTATATTGGGTGCATGCCAGGCGAAGGAGGGGAGCGTGGCTAGCAGGGGGCGAGTGGACTGGAAGCTCGGATCGATATCGGAGATGGGCAAGATGAGCACAAGCGCTGCACGGTTGCGTCCCTAGCGCGATCAGATAAAAAACTTCTCGATTAAGTAAAACACGCCAAGTCGTCCCTCCCTGTCCGCAGCAGTCCCTTCTTCCCTGTCGGGCTATTCTATTCACATCCTAGCTGCGATCATCATGCTCTCACGCTCGCGACCCTGCTCCGTCGTCGCCAGCGCATTCACCACCTCGCCGGCTCTCAATGCAATATCCTTGGCCAATGAACGGCCGCCTTCCGAGTGCGCCGAGAGCATCCACACCTTGCAGCTCTCGGCCACTGCTCCGCGCTTGAACTGCACCTCCTCAAGGCTGTCGCCCTTCTGCCGGCACCCTAGCACGAGAGCATCGAGACCGTGGAAGAGGCCATTGTTCGCGAATGTGCTCCGTTGCGGTTGCTCCGCAATGATGACCTTGGCGTTGGAGCATGCACCGCCGGCATCTCTGCTGCCCACGACGACGCGCAGCGTGTATTCACCCTTGCTGGCCACCTGCTTCTCATATGCGCGGGCGTAGATGTCCTGCACCAGCTCCGAGGATCCCGTGACCGTCGACTTTTGTTCGCACGACGGCTTTGCCCAGATGGAGCACAGCCGTGGCTGTGGTGGCTCCTGCTCGCCTTCTAGTATTCGCAGTGGCGCCAGAGACTCATTCTCCGTCACCACAGTGATGTTGCCCAGCCGCGGACAGGTCAGCAGGTCGGCCAAAATCTCAATTGTCTGCTCGCCAGAGCCAACGACCGCGACATTGAGGCGTGGCTCGTTCTTGCCTCGCAGGGTGTCTCTCTTCAACTTGTAGTCTTCTACAGAGATGATGCGTTGTCCGGCAAGAAAGTCCACGTTCGTCAACGAGAGTGGCTTGTGGTCATGTTTTCCAGATGGTGAAGGACCCACAATGCTTCTTGCCTGTACCACCTGGCTCTGTCCATTCGCATCCCGTATCGCCACGTTCCACCTCCTAACGGGGCCATCGCCCTTCTCCGGTGCTACACCGACCACTTCACTTCCGTAACGTATACTGTCCTCAAAGTGGCCTGCAGCCCAGCCGAGGTAGTCCTCGAATTCCAGCCTCAGCGGGTTGAGCCGATCAGAATTTGTGAATTCGACAAGCCGATCTCGCACGAAAAGGTAATTGGTGTAGCTGAAGGCAGATCTGGGATTGCGAGTCGTTACCAGATCATAGATGAAAGGGCTTTCCATCCGCGTTCTAGCAAGTTGCGGAGAATGCCATGAGAAGTTCGCTTTTCGCTCTACGAAGAGGAGATTCGCAGGTTTTCGACTTTCGTGGTTTGCGATTGCCGTTGCAAGCTGCGCAGGCCCGAAGCCGATGCAAAGCAGATCGTAGACCATGGTCGACATCTCTTGAGGGGAGCTGGAGATAGGATTGAACGGTCTTGAATGCTGTTCAGTCGAAGTCATTTTGGGGGAATGTGACATGAGCTTCGAGGGGGCGTATTCTTCCGCAACGATGCTTGTGCACCAGACACCAAGGCGTATTGGATTTTCTGCCCGATCCGAAAGCTTTGGCCAGGAGCAAGCTGTGGTATGATTTTTTGAAAACAGAAGCTCACCAAGGTCCCTGCAGCTTCCTTGCTAGCCATTGGATACGTCACACATTGGCGCGAAGATTCTTTGCCGCGAGGGTGGCATGCATGAGGATACGTGCCGTGTCCACCACTGTAATGCCCACATAGTGTGGCTTTCGGAGACCAGTCGGACCAGACCGCTCGTTAGCCCGGTAAATGTCCCCACTCTGTAGCGATCATGCACCCGATTCCGGTATTTTATCTTGCTAATCCGTCATAGCCAGATGGTCATAGCTCCTAGCAGCATCGCCGTTGACCTCGGCTTTTGCTCTACCTCGTGCTGCAAGAACTATAGTGAGCTGCGTGGATTTTCTGTAGACGAAACTCGCCTTCTTACAATCAGTGTGCTACTTTCGCGAACGGACTTGTTCAATATGGCCCAACATTCAGCTGAAACACTTGTTCTGAAGCTACCTCATCCATACCTAACCTCGTATGACATTACGAACAAAGCTGCCGCTGGACAGTTGAAGCGGTTCCAAATCTCTCTCTCTGCAGAGCAGTCGAAAACGAATGGGGCCCCTCCACCGGTGACGCTTCACCACGACAGCCTCTCATTCAGCGACATAGCCTTCCTGGAGGGAACCTCAATTCCAGCCAAAGGCGACAACAGTTCATGGGCAAGAGCTCGACGAGCACCCTACACAACGATCGCCTGGTCTGGAGACAGACCCTCTGTTGCACAACTTTGGCTAACTGCCTACGCTCTGATTTCGCAACATCCCTTCGTCGAAAACATTCGCGTTTTGTTCTCTGGAAACGATGCTATATCTCTTGCAACAGAACTCTATGCGACCGGCCTTTTCCACCCGCATCCACGGGGCTCAAGTACATCGTCCCCACACGACGGTGATTTACTGCTGCGGAGTACCTTCTGGCAAGGAGCTGCGTCTCCATTCGGTGCCCGTCCCGTATGGGCGCCGCTTCTTGATGCTCACAACAAGCCGATAGCAGCAGAATACCCGCCCTTTCCTTTCCAAACCGCACCAAGCACGGTGTTCCCCGCTCTTCCACGGCACACTATGCATCCTGTACGCCGGCCTAAACCTGCTCCTGGATCTGTCATCTATAGCCGCTGGATTCCCCATCTACAGGAGCATTTTACGATGATTGCACTGGACTACACAAATGACGAGCATCTGCGTCTGTTCAATATATGGCAGAATGACCCACGTGTGGCTGCAGGTTGGAACGAAACCGGGACGCTAGACCAGCATCGCGAGTACCTACGAAAGCTGCACGAAGACCCACACGTGGTGACCATGTTTGCAGCTTTCGATGATGTGCTGTTCGCTTATTTCGAAGTCTACTGGGCCATGGTAAGTTCATCGATCGTACGACTGATCCCTATAGCTGACCCTTTGTAGGAGGACCACATGGGTGCACACTTCCTCGCGTCGCCCTATGACCGTGGCCGACATTCACTGGTTGGCGACGTCAGATTCAGGGGACCTTACCGAGTCTCTGCTTGGTGGTCTGGACTTATGCACTACATGTTCCTGGATGAGCCACGTACCTGGAACCTTGTGGGCGAGCCGGCGCAAACCAGCAGCACGGTTCTCGCTTACGACTTCGTCCACGGCTTCCACGTCGAGAAACTGATCGACTTGCCGCACAAGCGAAGTGCATTGATGATGGTCAACAGAGAGAAGTTCTTTGCACTCAGTCCATTTGTATGGGATGGTGAGAAGAAGGTTCGTCCTAGCCTGGACGCTCTTGCAAAGTTGTAATTACATTCAATATCCGGGCGTGATCCAGCCAAATTCAGCCGCACCAGTATGCACTCCATAGAGTCACAGTGGATTGACACGAATATGGATGTAGGCATGCGCACCTCTTCCCGCATCATCTCAATATATTATACGTTTATAAACTTGCACTGTAATATTCATCGTGGAAGGTCACAGAGGGGTACACCTCGAGATTTCTCCTTTTCACCGTCACCCACTGTGCGTCGTCTTTTCGCATGCGACCCTAATGCTATCTGTGCTCGTGAATCGCGGAAGCCGACCCCACATTTGCAATACCTAGTTTCTGTAACGATACACAAGGGTCCCCACGGGCGGCTAGCGCGACGTCATCCTCCATCATCCTGCACAGACGCCCCAGGCATGCAGGGTGCGGATCAGATAACTTTAAACAAGCCCTACGCCGTTTACGCGTGGCCTTAGCGACATGCGGCCGCCATCTCCGGGTAAGAAAATTTTATCAGATCCGCTCGCTTGCGTGTTGCACAAGACGATCGGCCAAAGTCGACCGTCCCGTCCAGCGTGGATGCTGGCGGTATTGCCGAAGTCAGGCGAGGCTTGGGTATTTGCATGATTGGGATCTCCGCTGTTCATAAGGCTGCTGCGCAGCATTGCAGCCGCCGACATAGCCAGTAAGCTGTTGCGCTCGCTCTCTGTACCAAAGATTATCGTAGGCATCAGCTTGGCCATCTCTCGGCACACTTGCACCACGGCGGTCGTGCCCGAACTAAACAGACAATCGACCTGCGTCTTTCCCATTAAGCGAAGTTAATAAAATGACGCAGGGTTCCAGGCGAAGCATGGGATACGGCAGGTTGTTCGCACATCGGGCGCGGAGGGGTCCGTTCATCTGACAACTTTACGCAACAGCATCCTTCACCCGTGTGGAACCGCCCATTCTACCCAGCTGCGCCGACGAATAGTGTCAGGACCGAGCTCCATCTGATAAAAACTTTCCTTATCAGATGCGATGGCCGCGAACGCGAGGCTAGACTCAGACTGGGGTCTCACATGTTGTCGCCAAACATCCGCCGGCTGCAACGACAATGTACTGGCTACATGGAGTACACATCTCTTGGGACGGTCCCTGCCCCACAGAGCTACTGGACTCATTCGGGAGCGATCACCTGAGTGCTGATGTCGACGGCGCTTTGCTACCGGCATGGGAAGGGTCGGGGGTGGGCAGCCACTACTAGGTTATCCCGCCATGTCATTCCGAGACCGCTCTCGACACTGCCGGTACGTAGTGTCAGAATAGATAGACTGGCGCGTTGTCAGCTAGATCCGAGGCATCTGCGCGCTCACCATGACGAAGTATAGCTCCACCCTCCAGGTCTTTTCGGATCTCTTTTGGTATGGCGCGTACAGCGTCGTGTCCCTTGGTCTCGCCATTTTTTTGTTTCAGTATCTTTCCCACTACGTGGTTCTCGTCGTCTTGAGCAGCTCACCGCTATTGACTGAAGCTTGCAACCTCGATTGAGAGGGAAGCTACTTATGGCGGAACTGTTCGAGCAGGCACGGCACGATGCTCTTCAACGTCTGAATCAGACGCTACTCCAAATCGACCCCTACATACTTCCACCATACCCAAACATCTCACTAGTCTCTGGGCCACAAGATCCTCCTCTACTGCAGATAACAGTATCGCAACTGCTTGCAAAGCAAGCCGGATCTTTTGCCAATCGCGAATGCGTGATAATACCCTGGACAGGCGCGAGGTGGACATACCGTGGATTATGGGAGCAATCAAACCTCTTAGCACGTGCGCTGCTACGATACGGCATTCGGCCAAGAGATAGAGTCGGCATAATGAGTGGAAACTGCGAGAAGTATGTTGCAGTATTCTTTGCTTGCGCAAGGGTTGGTGCAATATGTGTCACACTGAACAATACATACACCGCGACCGAGGCGGAGTACGCGCTGAAGCATACCAGTGAGTGATGCTCAGGAGAAGGACCGCTAAACCAATAAAACGCTGACGGAAACAGAGTGTAGACTGCTATTCACAAGTGAGGATGTCGGCCGATTCGACAACCGACCCTTTCTCCAGAGATTGAAGAGCGAAGATGTAATGGAGGAGCTCCCAGACCTGAAGACCGTGTGCTTGATACGAGGCCAAGATGAGGACTTCGTCAAGTATGAAGAGTTCATTGGCGAGGCGCTATCAATACCGGAGCACATCTTGGATATCTTTGACGGCGTCATAAGTCCTTACGATATTGCGAATCTACAGTTCACAAGCGGTAGTACGGGAAACCCAAAGGCAGCAATGCTCACACACCAGTACGTCGACGCGTACACAGTTCCTCCGCGCTTGGCAGCTTACAAGAATCCAGCAACCTCGTGAACAATTCGCGATTCATTGGCGACCGTATGCAACTTACCCCCGATGACACGCTCTGCTGTCCACCGCCTCTCTTTCACTGCTTCGGCCTCACACTAGGCCTCCTTGCCACGATAACACACGGCGGTCGCTTTGTGTCACCCGCCGAGTCCTTCGACCCCGAAGCAACAATGCACGCTATATCCGACGAGCGATGTACGGCTCTACACGGCGTACCGGCCATGATGGAGGCCATCGTCAACCTACCCAAGCCCGAAGGGTGGAGCTCAGAGCTGCGCACAGGCATTGTTGCCGGTAGTCCAGTGCCAAAGTGGCTGATGGAACGCATGGTGAACGAACTTGGAATGATAGAATTCACATCGAGCTATGGCCTTACAGAAGCAAGCCCGACGGTATTCAACGCGCACATCACAGACTCTTTGCACACGCGACTTACGACAGTCGGTACCGTCATGCCCCATGCACGCGTCAAGATAGTAGATCGCGACAATCGGATCGTGCCCATTGGAGTACGCGGTGAGCTCTGCGTGGCGGGATACCAGGTGTGCAGAGGTTACTGGGAGAATTCTGCAAAGAGCGCGGAAGTATTGGTCCGGGATGACCAGGGCGAGCTATGGTTGCACACTGGAGACGAGGCTGTGCTGGACGTGGATGGCTACTGCACCATTACGGGCCGCTTCAAGGACATCATCATTCGTGGTATGTTTCCTGTCTGTTTGGATTACAAATGATCTCATTTCTAACACAACCGCAGGCGGCGAAAACATATACCCGCTCGAGATCGAGGAGCGCCTTGTATCGCATCCGTCCATTGCGCGTGCCATTGTTGTCGGTATATCGCATCCCAAGTACGTCGAGGTACCCGTCGCGTTCCTCCAGCTTGAAGATGGCACCCAAAGACCGGGCTTGGAAGAGGTCAAGAAGTGGGTCAGGAAGGTCCTAGGCAGGCATAAGGCGCCGACCAAGGTGTTTTGGTTGGGAGAGGATTGTGATGCTGAGGTTCCGCTAACGGGGAGCGGGAAGGTCAAGAAGTTTGTGCTGCAGGGTGTTGCAGAGGGTCTAGTCAAAGAAGGAAAATAGAAGCGCGATGTGTTTTGATAGAGCACCACGTATACTCTGCCACGCACTCCAGAGCTTGAAGACGACTTGGAGATGTACAGTCATTCATAAACGACACCACAATCTACACGACGACTGCTTTCGTGGTGTTGTTGGAAGGTTTCAGTGACACCTTCCTTTGAGTCGCGCAGCGTGACGCGACGTCATCACGTCACGGCCTTCCCTCGACATGTCCTTCGTTTTCGCACATCACTTTGCGGGCGCTACCACATCTATCGTTTTGCACGCGTCCTTCCGCTCCATCAGACATTTGCACGCATTCGAGCTGCTTCGGGAAAACGCGCATTTCGCGGGTGCATTTTTTGTTCCAACGGCGCATATTTCCGAGAACGCACGCACCAGCGCCGCCGACGATTATGCCTCATAATGCCAGAGTACTGTGCACATAGCTTGTATCAAAGATCCGCGACACGGTACGAAAAGGGCCTGCCGAAGCCGGAGCTTGGAGCAAGATGAGCGATGTCCGAAATCAGGCCGCATCTGATAAAGATGATCTAATCAGATGAAAATTTGCGCAGACCGGACCTGGCAAGTGGCCACAGACATCACAGTACATACATGCCCAGCGCATCACATCATCTCGCATGCCTCGAAGAGGCAGGTCCACCGCACTAGGTGGGCACCCAGCTGCAAGCGCAGTGGGGTTAAAGTTATCAGATGCCGCTAACCCGGTGCTAGCGTTCACCGCGGTTTTATCTGATTCTTTTAGTGGACCGCGGCGCTTGGCATGGCGCCACCGTATCGATCACGAAAACCCTTTAATAGCCCACTCCTGCAGCTTCGTGGAGTCATGCCCGCGCTGTTACGTTAAGAAATGACCAAGCATCATGGGTAGTTATAGGTTTGCACGGCGGATGTGGGCGCAGCCTCGGAAGCTACGCAACAACCGCGCAACTGGTTCGCTGCTGCTGCCTCCAGCGGAAATGGACCCGCAGGACACAGGAAATCCCTGCGATAGAAGCTAAGCCCTTTAGCCTTGCGCTATCCAGGCCGATGAAGGAGCTTGGGCCGCCGATGGAGTCACCTCACGATGCTGGGCGCATTCTATGAGGAGGTTTGGGAGTTTGGCCGCCAAATTGATGCTTCCATGGAGAACACATCTAGGCCAATCAACACCAGTAACAGCAACAAGGGCAAGAATCGCCGTCAGAAGATGCATCTGCCTCCAAGCGAAGAGACGGTACGGTGTGCGGAAGTCGGTGACACGAGTGCAACCTCAGTGGGGAGCGCGATGTTCGCAGACCAGGCTAAGTTCCATTCATCCACAAAAGCAGACGTCAGGAATGTGAACGAGGTCGAGATAACCATTTCTCCACAAGAGCTGGAAATAAATGCACTACTGGATGCATACTTCGCAAGCTGGATTATATTTCTACATCGATACCAAAGAGATGCTCTAGACCAATTCAGTTGGACCACGAGTGTCAGCTCCGGTGTACATTCTCTTTCAGCTGGTGGGATATACTTTCCCAGTCTGCACAATGTGGCAGATCTTCTGAGCGCGGCTCGTGATTTGCGACCAAAGTTCAAGTTCACGGATTTGGCAACATTACCGATATTTGCCTTCCAGGACGGGGTCAACGATGAGGCAAGCGTCCTTTACAGAATTTACTGTCAAATACTGACCTTAGCAGTGGAAATTTGGAGTGGAACTTAGACTTAGGCTTGGCACCCAGCACATACAAGTCAGTTCAAGTCGAGCAGGACTTCAGCAGTGGCAAGCCTCGTCTCAGCTCCGTTCCTTTGCCCATATCGTGGAAATCGTAATTCAACATCGTGAATATGCGCTGGCGCGTCTACTTGACCCATCAGACAACGAACTGGATAGCATATGGAGCTGGACTACTCCTTTGGCCGAAACCATCAACAAATGCATGCACGATATCATTTCCGAGAAGTCCAGATTGCAGCCAACTAAGACGGCTGTTGAGGCTTGGGACGGGAACTTCACATATCAGGAAGTCGACCAGTATTCTACTGAGCTGGCACAGCATTTGCAACTTCTGAACAATTCGGAAGATCAGATCATCCCCGTCTTATTTGAAAAATCGAGATGGACCATGGTTGCTGTACTTGCTGTCATGAAGTCTGGATCTTGTTTTGCGCTCCTAGATCCTGCGCAGCCGGAAGGCCGTCTGAGCACCATTGTCCACCAAACGAAAGCCAAGTTACTCGTATCTTCGAAGGCTCAGGCCATGCTGGCTGCAAGAGTAGCCGCTGGTGCGACTGTGGTGCCAATATCACGTTCGAAATTTGAGAAGATATATCGTCCTTATCTAGAACAGCTTCCGAAGACAAGCCTGCCACCTGTATCACCAGCCGCGACGATGTATATTCAATTCACGTCTGGAAGCACCGGATTACCCAAAGGATGCATGCTGTCTCATAGCAATTTCACCTCGGGTGCAATACCGCGCGCCCATACAGTGGGATATAAGGAGACTTCGCGGGTATTAGACTTTGCCAGCTATGCTTTCGATGTCTCCATCGATTCCATGCTTTGTACGCTTGCCAGCGGCGGTACATTGTGCACACCCTCCGACGAAAGGCGAATGAACGATCTGAGTGGCGCGATGCGGGACATGCGTGTGAACTGGGCCGGTATGACGCCTTCGGTGGTCCGGACGCTTGACCCGGACATCATCCCTTCTTTGGCTACGCTTGCTGTGGGTGGAGAAGGCATCTCCATCAGCGATGCAGCAAGCTGGCGTGAGAAGACTACAGTGGTCAACTGCTATGGTCCTTCAGAGTGCACTGTTGGCGCCACTTACAACAACACAGTAGGGGAGAAGTCCTACATTAGTATGGGCAAAGGCACGGGCTGTTCGGTCTGGGTGGTGGATCCTACTGATCACAACAAGCTCGTGCCGCCTGGCGTTGTGGGCGAATTGCTTATCGAAGGACCAATCGTCGGATATGGGTACTTGAACAACCCTGACAAGACTAAAGAAGTATTCATAGAGAACCCGAAATTTCTCACCTCCGGTAGTCCGAAAACGACTGGACGGCGAGGAAGAATGTACAGGACCGGCGATTTGGTGCGCTACGACCCAGATGGTAACGGTGAGGTAATCTTCGTTGGGCGCGGGGATCAGCAAGTCAAGCTTCGCGGTCAACGCATCGAGCTTGCCGAGATCGAATTCAACATGCTTAAGCACCTGCCCGGCAATACACGGGTCGCAGCTGAGGTCATCAAGCCTGGTGGAACGGGCGAGCCAACACTGATTGCCTTTGTCACTGAACCCAAGGAGAGCGACCAAGGACACCTCGACAGTGATGTTTTTGCTACCTTCTCAACTACTTTCCAGAAATCGTTACAGGGAATGACGGCGCAGTTGTCGAAAGATCTTCCAGTGTACATGGTCCCGAGCGCATACATCCCATTGTGGACGATGCCGTTGTTGGTTAGTTGGAAAACGGATCGAAAGCGCCTGCGCGAGATTGGCTCTTCCGTCACCAGACAGGATCTCAGAAAATTTAGCGCTGCTATCTCTGTGAGGTCGGAACCTAAAAGCGGCATGGCCATTCGATTGGAGAAGCTGTGGGCTAGAGTTCTGGGTGGCGAAGCCGACTTCAATGCCAGCGATAACTTTTTCAGCATGGGCGGCGATTCCCTGAGAGCTATGAAGCTGGTTGCTGCCGCGAGGGAAGTCTGTATCGCGCTGAGTGTGCCGGACATCATGCTTAATCCGACTTTGGCGGCGATGGCTACGAAGGCGAAGACAATGTCAGCGAAGCAGGCGTCAGAAGTGTCTGCATTCTCCCTGATACCCAAAGGCTGGAGCAGGGAGATTGCGCAAACAGAAGCAGCGCAAGCCTGCAACACTGGAACTGATTCCATCGAAGATATATATCCTTGCACCCCATTGCAGGAAGGTCTCATGGCGCTTTCCGCCAAATTTGTTGACGCCTATGTGGCACAGCGCGTAGTCGAGCTTTCGACTCGTGCCGCTGAAAGACTCATCGAGGCCATCGAAATGGTCGTGCAGAGCTCACCCGTACTGCGGACTCGCGTTGTCAACGTTTCCAACCATGGCTTATTCCAAGTCGTACTCAAGGATGGTCAGCTGCGTCGCGAACATGGCACATATCTTGCAGAATATCTTGAGCAGGACCGCGAAGAGCATATGGATCTGGGTACGGCACTGTTCCGGTACGGAGTTGTGTCGCAACCGGGGAGTGATATGGCGCAAGTCATTCTCACATGCCATCATGCAATCTATGATGGGTGGTCGATGCCATTGATTTTCGAGCGTGTCAATCGCGCATACAAAGGCCTGCAGATTCCGCGCCCAGTAGGCTTCAACCATTTTATCAAGTATCTAACCGGGCTGAATCCTTCAGCATCACAGCAATACTGGCGTCATTTACTTGACGGCGCAAGTCCACATCAATTTCCCTCCCTCCCTCACAAAGGCTACATTACACGCGCGAACTCTCTACTCGAGCATTATGTAAATGTTCCGGCTGGTGCCAATAGCAAGTACACCGTCGCGACTATCATCCGTGGCGCATGGGCTCTTGTATCATCCCTCTATCTGGGACATGATGACATCGTCTTTGGCGAGACGCTCACAGGGCGCTCTGCTCCGGTCACTGGCATCGAGGAGATTGAAGGCCCGATGATCACCACAGTCCCCATCCGCACCAAGGTCGATCACAAAACTCAAATCTGGAAGTACCTCGATGCAGTCCACACACAGACTGTCCAGCAGATGCCGCACGAACACTTCGGTCTCCAAAACATCCGCCGACTCAGCCGCGATGCGAGAGAAGCGTGCGAACTACGTACCGGTCTCGTTCTGCATCCAAAAGAAAATAATGTACCGGAAGCGACGGCTAACATCGAGGATGCGCCTGCGAACGGCTTCTTGCCTTCCGATGATGCAGAAGCGGCGAGAGAAGCATTAAAGTTCAATACGTATGCGCTGATGCTGGTGTGCACGCTGGATGAGAATGGCTTCCTCATTATGGCGAGCTTTGACTCGAAGTGCATCACCTCGCCAGTCATGGATAGAGTGCTCAGGTTGTTGGATCGCGTTGTCACTGGGTTCATGAAGGAGCCTGAACAGCAGCTTGGCTCTGTGGTGACATTGGAGGCTGAAGAACTGGAGGATGCTCTGGCATCCAGGGTAGAAGACAAGGCACAAGAAGAAAAGCCCAGAGCCCCATCCAACGGGAACTCCAATAACCAAACCTTAACAACACCGGATATCTCAACACCGAACGGAGCCAAGCTACAGGCGCTCCTGAGCCGCATACTTGCTATTCCAGAAACAGAAATTAGCCCAAGCGATAGCTTTTTCGATTTAGGTGGCGATTCAATAAGCGCGATGAAGCTTGTCTCCGAAAGTCGTGCGCAGGGCTTGAAGCTCAGCGTTGCCGATGTCTTCCAAAGTCGTTCGCTTTCCGAGCTCGCGCAGATTACCAGCAACGAGAAAAAAGAAAAGCTGATCCAGATCTTGAGCCGTGTTCTGGAAATTCCCAAAGAAGAGATCAGCTCCAGTGACAGTTTCTTCGAGTTGGGCGGCGACTCGATCTCTGCCATGCGGCTGGTTGGGGAATCTCGTGCTAAAGCAATCAGCATTACAGTGCCACAAGTCTTCCAAAGCCGCTCGATTTCGGAGCTTGCTTCACTGGCCGAGCAACTGACGTGTTCGAATCTTGAAGAGGTTACTCTTGCGCCGTTTTCTGCGCTTGGTGATGATGCGGATTCGTACTGTCCTGATCATATTCAGCCGCTTCTGGAGAACCCTGACTGGAAGATCGTGGACGTCTACCCAACGAGACCGCTTCAGAAGGTTGCTGTTGATGGTACTGTTCAGCTTCCTCGGTACTCGCTGCGCTACGAGCTGATCAAGTTCGATGCATCTGTCGATGAAGCAAAACTGGCGCGAAGCTGCCAGGAAGTGGTCATTCGCAATGAAGTGCTCCGCACAGTATTCGTGGAACTCGGGAACCGCTGCCTTGGTGTGGTTTTGGACTCCCTTGAGGCAAAATTTCAAGAGATTTCGGTACCAGAGGACACCGATATTGACTCCTCCATCCGCACATGGATTAGCATGGATACTGAGGCGCCAAAACCGTACGGATCATCATTCGTTTCCTTTACTCTCTTTAAGCCTGCCCATGGCTACCCTACACTCGCATTCCGCATCTCGCACGCTCAGTACGACGAAATGTGTCTCCCAATACTCTTTGCTCAACTCTCAGCCCTATATTCCGACTCAACAGTGCCGGAAACACTGCCCTTTACTCACCACGTCAACCACGTAGTCCAGCAATCAATTCCCAGCAGCATCCCCTACTGGCGTGAGCTCCTCAAATCATCGCACCTCTCCGTGTTCCGACCTAACATCCCCCTCACAACACACGCCTCCACCTCAATCTACCGCGAATTTGACATCTCCTCGCGCCCCCCGCAGATCACCATCGGGACCCTCCCCACCGCTGCCTGGGCCATCGTCCTTGCGCGCCGCCTCAACACCCGCGACGTGGTCTTCGGCGAGGTGGTCACCGGGCGGAACCTCGGCGTCGCAGCCGCAGACCGCGTCGTGGGTCCCAGCTGGCAGTACGCGCCCTTCCGCGCGACATTCGCCCCGCAGGCCACCTACCGCGAGGTCCTGCATACTGTACAGGAACAGCACATGACATCTTCTCCTCACGAGGGTATGGCGCTGCCTGAGATCGTGGAGCAATGCACAGACTGGGATCCGGCTGAGGCGACGTGGTTCGACAGCGTGGTACATCAGGCACCGCGGTATTGGGTCGAGAATTTGAATTTTGGCCGGGATGTGAAGGCGGAATTTGAGACTGTGTATCCACATGCGGAGCCGTTAAAGGAGTGGAAGGTGCAGGCTTTTGTAATGGACGGGGGAAAGAGGTTGGGGATCGAAATAGTGACGTTTGAGGCGTGGAGGGAGGTCGGGGAAGAGGTTGTAGGCGAGATTGGGAAGGTGCTGGGGTGCTTGGTTGGGGATGGGGCGGGGAGGGTGTTTGATGGCGATGCGTAGTATGGATAGGGAGGAGTCCCTATGTATTTTGTATTTCATTTTCGTGTTGCATTCTTGCTTTATGTACAGCAATTCCTACATTTCGTTTCCTTCTCGAAGGTCAGCATCATAATAACTCGAATCACCCATTACTGTTTGTCGGAATGGTTCCAGGCCCAAAGGAGGTAGAGCGGGTCCTCGTTTTTCAATGGCAGATCAGTCTCGTCGTGGCATGATGACAGCCATTGAAACCACGGAACACATCATTCACTAAATTTCTGCTGTGAATGCTCCCCTTGAAACTCGCCTGTGACTTTCTGAAGGCTCAACCTCATTCACATCGGCTTGAGCAATGACCACATGGAAATGCGGAAACGTGGCTCAATTGGAATAGCCTGCGCAGGAGGCCCCAACATCGAGCACTCAGGCCAAGGTGAAAACTCATGCCGTGTGCATAGTCCCCTGACTCCACGATTATCTTCTCACCACATTGATATAAACAGCAACCCAAGAACCCCACCCACAAAATCAAGTTTCGCTCTCTCATCTGCTGGGTAAACGCGACATGATGCAACTGTTCCGCCCTCCGGGTGCAGATCCACTCGCAACGCGCGCCGATACTTGGCCGTACATCCACAACATCTGTGGCTATCTGGCGCTCGACAAGAATAGCCTCTATCGCAACTACATCCAGCTTTTCGAGAACGGTAAGAATCAGTTTCTTCGTAACGTATGGAACATTTAGCTTACGGCTTATAGGTGCACTCGATGAGGCTACACTTTCCTCGATGATTCGCGACAGCCATATCTTCGACGACAACTTCGACGCTGAGCTCCTCCATGACGATCTCATCATCATGATTCTACTCAACAAGGCAGACGACGAATTCCAAGCCACAGCCGCGCCTGAACCTGCCAGTCACTCCATGGCTCCATTCCAGTACTATTTGGAGCGTGGCCATGGAGTTGCGCCTGTTCTACCTTCCCAGTTCCAGCACGACAAGATAGGCACTCGATTGAATAACGAGATAAAACCCTCGTCGGAGCTATCCTCGCCTCCGCCATCCCCACCTGAGGCCACACCCGCGAAGCGAATCAGAAAGACCGTCGGTGGTTGGGAGGAGAGGATGCTTACGCAAGAGGCCGAGAGCTTTCTCACGAAGGGAAAGCGGTCGATTCGGGGACGGAAGTCATCGCGGGGCGTGGACTACCATGAGCAGTCAGATTGATCTTGAGAAGCCGTCTAGGTGAGCTTGATTGAGGATTTCCGCATATAATCGGTCATGATATTTTGGAGGATTATACTACCTGGTTGGAGCATCAAGTTTTGTACTGTATTTCATCGGCTACTAGTGTAGCTCCAGTACTAAGTTTTGCAACCCACTGTCGTTATCCTAGCGCGATGAAAATTGGACCCCGCAAGATCATCAGTTTCAACCCAAAACCTTCACGCCTTCATTTGGCTTCAGTCTCTATGATCACCACTCGTACACGCCAGACTTTCCATCCTGGTCCCAGATCATCCGCCCAACAACGTCGTTCTTCTCATCCTCAGCACACTTTCTCACAATATCAGCAGCCTCCTTCGGGTCTCTTCCGTTCTGCTTCGTGAAGTCTCCTCCAAACTCAGTAGCCACCAATCCCGGGCACGTCGCCCAGAACTTGATCTCCTTCTGCGTCTGACTCCAATTGGCCACCATCGCATTGATCGCCGCCTTGGACGAGCTGTAGTACGCGCCCACACTTCCACACGGCACATGCCCATCTGCAACCTTGCTAATTGAGCCCATGTTCGAGGTCACAACAATCACCCGTGGAGATGACGACTTGAGCAGGAGTGGGAAAGCCGTTTCGACTAGCTCGATCGCGCCGAATACATTGACCTCGAAGATGGCGCGCCAGTCAGGGCGGGTCGTCGAGTTCCACATTTTCCCCAGTGCACCAAAAATGCCGGCGTTGTTGACAAGGATGTCAAGGCGGTCATAGTCGGTGGAGATTTTACTCAACGCCCCGGTGATGCTCTCTGATGAGGCGACGTCGATATGGATCGTGGAGATGGCAGTCTTGTCGTTGGTCTTTGTGCGGAGCAGTTTGCGAACTGCCTCGTCGCCTCGAGCTTGGTCGCGTGCTCCAACAAGGATGGTGTAGGGATGCTGGGATTGGGAGAAAACTTCCGCGATGGCGAAGCCGAGCCCTTGATTAGCGCCTGAATGGGGTTTATCAGTGACTTTACTAAAGTTCCATCAATATCAGTAGCGTACCTGTGATCAGAACCACAGGAGGTATGACGGATGCCATCGCATCTAGGTTTGGATCAGGGTGAAGAAGAATTCGATTTTAAAATGGTCTGGCCGGTGAAAGTTAAGAGATACTTTTACTTTGTGCATGCTCGGGAGGGACAATTCAGGGCTATATATATGCCCTCGAAATCAAGTGTCGCTTTTCTTACGACATTACTAATGCCAGAGTTGGCTCCGTTGGTACGAGGTAAAACACACGTACAGTCAGTAATTAGTACAAAGCGATCTTCTCGCATCTGAGTCTAGACAGAGCTGACAGAATATACAATGTTTGCGCATAGAATTAGTTGGCTTATCACCGGGCTCTCACAACACGGAATGGCTTAGGTGAGCCAACTGATGCACCTTACCCAATCCAGACCAGCACAGCCAATCACAGGTGAATGGCTGAGGCAAGCCAAATGTCTTTTACTTCTGCTTTTGGACAGCATCTGCACAGCCGAGAATTGGCTGAGCTGAGCCATTGCCGTGCGCTCTACCTAGGACCATTGTTCTTTATTTTAATGACACCCTACTACATGGCCGACCAGCATCTGCAGACCGTAAGATGCCCTACATACCCCTCCAAAGCCATTTAGTTCCAATTCCGATCTCACTCCATCAATGAAATGATGTAGGCCGAATTTCATTTCGCGCCCAAGTATTTATTCAAGCACCTACTTTCGCCTTCTTTGCGGGTCGATCCCCTTGCTCATCATGGTCTGTAATGCTCACCTCTGTAACATTCTCAGAACCATGTCCCGATACCGCAGAGAATTGTCTCGTGCGGTTGAGCTCAATATGTTGCTTCTACAAGGGATCAGGCTCGATGTAGGAAGCGCTCTTCTTGGTGGTCATAACAGACGAGCTACGGGTTGGCGCCATGGCTCGTGTATCAGCTAGTGAAAGGCAACCTTGGAGTGACTGAAGGTAAAAGGACGCATGTGTCTGTTGACGTTGATACACTGAATCTAGTCAAGCATCTCTAAGCAGAATTCTTGTTCACTCGGCAAGCCTTCGGACATTTCAAAAAGCTGCGATGCATTCAATTTCCCTTGAGGAGCGCCAGAGTCGCAACATGCGCAAACACACCAAACCATCCCAGAGCTCAGCAACCTGTTCCCTCGCACAACGCGCACCCAGTTTTTCTCCACCACAGCTCACCAATCCTCAACTCGTACTAGCACACCAATAATCCGCCGTGCAACTCAGCTTCTGCGCACTCCAATCTTCCCACCCTTGCACCGTAAACTTACTCGCCCCATCCTTAAAGCAAACATACTCTTCGGCGCCGATCTTCGCACTCCCCGCAATTTCTCCCTTCGCCACAGCTTTCGCGCCCTTGTCAATGGCACTCGTCAGTTTCCCCGTCGTCAATCTACCTGAGCGAGTTACGCCTTCCCATGCCGCCGCCGGATCCGAGATCGTGGTGATGTCGGTCGGTCTGGCGGCCGTGGAGGCGCCTGAGGCGTAGAATGCTGCTGCGGTGATGGGGTCGGGGTCGTCGCAGATTATTAGGAGGCAGGAGCGGGGACGTGTGCAGGTTGCGAGGTAGATGTTGTGTTTGGAGGCGAGCGGGACTGCAGTTGTAAAGGCGCAGAAGAGGGTAAGGGCTGCAGTTGAGAGCCGCATGGTTGATGGAATTCTGTTCAGATGGTGTAGGGATGGAGTTGCAGTTTCATTTCCCTAGGGTAGAACGAGCGTTTGACGAAACTTTCGTTGTGTATGCATAAATCTTAGTTCCCTGGCCGTAGATAAGTAGAGAGCGTCGGAAAGGTTTTTAGTGAGATGACGCAAGCTACCCTCGCGTCGCTGCAGAACATCTATGTAGCGAATATACAGCTCTTGGGATTCTGCCCTGATAATATCGGTGCTATATCGAGCTCTGCCGGCAATGACCCGTTGGCCGAGTTCGGATACATGTTCTGCCAATCGCGACGCAGCACGCCGCAGATCCTTCTAAAAGCCCACCACACGCAATGGGGCATCATATGCTGGAGGCTCACGCCAAGGAGGTGAGTGGTCATATCGAAGCAGGCGGCTTCGCGGAAAATGTAGCAGCGCTGTCTCCGGGTGTCCGAGGAAGTACCTACTGTCTTATTCAACCGAGGCCTTTCGATGCTGGTAATCGGCAAGTATAATCAACAGGGCCCGGAATAAGATTCCGAACAGGATGTGCTGGCTTGGGCATCCACAAGGGTCGACCTAGGTCAAGTACACTCGGACTGCTGACATCGAAATCAAATTCAGAAGGAGAGGCGTTAAACTCATCATAGGCGGCCGTGACAACAGACATTCCACTTACAAAGGGAATTCCAGTGGCAGTCTTATCCATTCCAGTCCAATCCATGACTCGCCAACGCTCCGCCAATTATACCTACATTCCTGACTTCGCAGACCCAATGTCAACTTATTACGCCGTTATGACATAAACCTTCGATGTCTACCTCACCTCATCTACGTCTTTCCTCTCCTCAACTTGTCCAACAACTCCATGGGTACCCACTCGCGATCCCAGATCTCGAGCCCGCCAAACCTCTCGAAACACTCTTCGCCGTATAACCCAAGTGCCCACTTGTCTTGTATGCCCGTTAGAGCTTCATGATTCAACATTAGCTTTTCCTGTATTCTATCCATCTCGTCTCGAGTTCTGCGTGAGACACTCCAGTCCGAGGGAGGAGCGTCACTTGCGAGCAACTGATATGTGCTGAGGGCGTTTGGAGGCACTACGGTGGATTGAGGAGGGGACCCGTAGGGATAGCTATATGGGCCGTAATGAGTGGCAAATGGCATAGGCGGAGCAGGGCTAACTAGATGGAGGCGCTCTCGGTTCGCGGTCAATTCTTTCAGGGTGGGGAATGAGGTCGTAGTCCTCTTCCACTCGATTCCAAAGACGGTTTCGATGCGACCTTTGTCACCGTCGAAGATGTCTTTGAGTTTTCTTTCCCGTTGTTTATCTGTCAGCTGATAGAACAGCTCCTTTGCCTTCTCATAATATCTTGTCTCGTCCTCGAGGTATTTCTTCCAGTGAGCGTCAGCGTCCATCGTTATGTTGCTTCCGGCGGACTTGACATAGGCGTAAGGGCTTTTGACACCAAGACCCCCATATACGACGGGCAGGTGGATCCATGCTTCCTGCGAGAAAGAAGAATCTCCTGGTGGCAATGGAGATAACAGGTTCGTCACATGGCGTGTCAAGTTGCCGTCATCGAAGATGATTTCGTACATAATGTTGTAGGCCTTCTTGACAGCGTCCAGATGCGCCTTGCCGAAGACGTTAGTAAGCGGACCGAACAAATGAGGTGTATATGTGCCGATGGTACGATTCCACGTCCTGACCCACGCGAACACTGTGGGGCAAGCCGCGAGCTGCATCTTGACACGACGAGCGTAGGCAACGACCCTGTCATTGTGTATTGATACATTTACTTTATTTGGTTTCTTCGGGTCGCGGGATGCAGTACGATTGAAAGCAACAAGTCCAATAGCGGATGCGAGACCTGATGCAGGTGCAAACAGATCCTCGATGCCGACGTCCAGGTCCATGACTTGGGCAAAGGTTTCGATCTCTCGTCGTGCCTCTTCGCACTGCTGCTTTTTGCCCACGAAGTAGCATTCATCGCGTTGACGAAGTAGGTAAGGAGTTGCGTGATCAGAGGTCGTTCTATGATGAACAGCCAAATCCAAGCAGACCAGTACCGCTTCTCCAAAGAACGTTTCGAAGCCGCGTGCGATCTGCAAACCGCAAGTACGAGTCTGGATCCGGGCTTGGGTGTCTCGAAAGATCGTGCAGAGGTTGAGGGGCGCACCTAGGAGGCGTGTAAAGAAGTTGAGCCAGTCCTGAGACACGCCCATGTAGCCGAGTATCGCCAGGACGGATTTGTGTGACATTGAAGACGCAAAGGATCGGAAGTTCGCCCGGAGACCGTAGACGCTGCCGTCAAACGCTTCACGGGCCTTGATGTCCAAGGTGAGCATTTGCAAAAGTGCACCTTGTTTTTCCACGTCTATTCTCCTTCTGTGCGCCGAAGATAATTCGGGATCAGGCAGTCTGTACAAGAAGAGGTCCCGCATGTACAACATGCAACGCTCATCGTCCAAACACGCACTTGGAACGTATGGGGGATGAGGCGGCAGATGAGCCCTGATGTTACGAAGATTATATCTGGGCGGTGTTCTATCATGACGCCTGTGCCGGTTGGCTGGATGGTATGGAGGCATAGACTAGAAGAAGATGTCAACGACTGGTGTGAATAGCACGGAAGATTCAACGTACAGGCGGCGGTGGTGGGGTTAATGGCGGATACATTGAACACACAGGCGGCATTTGTGGGTGGCGTGCAGTGCATGTAGACGGCTGTGGAGGTCCACATCCCTCGAGATAATACTCCCGCTTTTGAATCTCTTCGAGGGCGGGTGGCGCGTGTTCCACTCTGATGGAAGTTAGCCTTCTCAGCGCGTCCTTCAATTCCATGCCCCATCGCATCGCTAGGCTATGGAGGAAAAGCATGTCGATTAATTTCTCTTCGACAGTGATGCAGAACATGCCGTTGGCGTTCTTCTGGGCTGAGACTGGCAAACCTCTTTCATCATTACACCAGTTCCAGTGGCGAATAGACTTGGCGTTGAGCGTAGCAGTGAGCTCACGGATTGCGGTTTCGGAATCTAAGTACCCGTGGAGACGGCTCTGACGTTCTGCGCTCAACAAGCCGTTGTTCAGCAAGTCTTTGATGCACCATTCCACGAGTGCCGTATCAAGCTTCTCTTCACCGAGAAGCAAGACTTCTCCGTAGTCAGTCATCTGCTGACGGAGCATTTGAAGCTGTTCATTCCCAACAGCGTCATCAAAGAGACAGGTAAGGTAGTCCTCAATTGCCTTCACATCGGTGTCTTTCTGCGCAAAGGCATGCTCCTCAAATGCGGTGCAGACTCTGTCTAGTTCTTCTTCAACCACCTCAAACTCACCATCCAGCGAACCGTTGTCATATACGAGTTCGAGCTTTGAGCGAGCCTCCAAGTTGTCAAGAGCGTTGTCCATCAAAGTAATATGGTACTCAGACATGGCAAGACGGTTAGGAATCCTCTCAAGCTTGTGGTGAAGGGCCTTCTCAATAGAGATGAGTTTCTCGGACGTAATTGACTTATCGTCCTGAGCTTGTTCAATCTGGAGAGTCCACATGTTGAACTCATCGTCCACGACACCGTGGGATTCGTATGCCTTGACACGTTTGAGCAGTATCGTGAGCCGCGTAAGGATGACATCCCTGGCCTCATGTTGGTCGTAAGCCTTGTTGAGATTGAGAATGATATCTTCCGTGAAGCTCTCCTTGAAGTGTTCAAGTTCTTCCGCCATGAGGTTGGCAGCCTCCCGCAGCGCTGGAGAAATAGTAGGCATAGAAAGAGACGACATTGCGAACAAGAACAAAGCGACAATGCGCCAGGCCTGCTGGGTCCCCGTCCGCACTGATATATAGCGCTCGCCCAGCCGCGTCATAACTTGTGTAACGTTCCACACAGGCAACTGCAGACGGACACCATCGTACTGGACGGACACCAACAGCACTCATTGGCAACTGCGGGCTGTTGCCTTGAGCTCGCATACCGATGGCGCCGTGGTTGCAGCGTTATGCGCTGTCGAAACAAGTCAGCCATCCACGCTTGAACGATCCAGGGATAGCATGTTCACCCCGCCTTTCTCGCCGGCATGCTCGCAGATCGTCTTCATTCAAGCTTCAGTCACGTCAGCACATAACTTGCAAAGATCCAGGGAATTGGCTTCACTCAATCACTTGAATCGTTGCCCTGCGTGTTGGTGAGTTGCATTACCTCCTGTTTATTCCAAAATGGTTGGCGCGAAAGCACACAAACGAGGCTGCAACGCCTGAAGCAGGCTAACGAGCAGGCGACGCAAAGTATGGGGCGGTGGAACAGGGCGTTGTTGAGAGACCTGGCGCATATGCAACAGCGCAACGATTGATAAGAAAAGGTCACCCGACCGGGACGATAGGTATGTGAGCGGGCTGTAGTTAGTCATTCAGTAAAAGTCGTTTGAAGCTTCGATCGTTTGCCGTGAGACATGTGTATCTCGATCGAGTTATGGAGTCTTGGGAAGCATGTCGCACTTGATCCGTTGACTGAATGCTGCACGTATGGTATGAGCATCGCAAGTTGATCAATGGTCGCCGTGCGGTTGAGGGTATCAGAAACCTTGCCGCGCGGGTCCTTGGAATTGTTCGCAATGCTACTTCTTTGTCTCAGATTCTTCAGCTACGAGGGCTTTAACGTCTTGCTCCATGAGCCAGGTCCTCACGCTTTCCATTATATCCTCCAATGCCTGTCCGCCCGCCACCACGTCGTCCAAGTTTAGCACCGTTGTGCCACTCCTGTGGTCCGTAACCCTCTGCTGGCCATAGTTGTATGTCCGAATCTTGTCTCCGCGACCCATCTTGGCGACGCCCACGACGCTGCGTCGCATGGCCACCATTTCTTCTTCTCGCTTCTCTCGCCGTACCTGGGCAATTCGAGCACGTAGAAGGGCCCAAGCCTTCTCCTTGTTCTTGATTTGCGACCTAGAGTCCTGCATCGACACCACGGTGTTGGTAGGTATGTGCGTCAAACGCACTGCCGACTCGGTCTTGTTGACGTGCTGCCCGCCGGCGCCGCTGGCTCTCATAACTTCTAGTCGCACCTCCTTGACATCGATGTAGTAGTCGCTCTCAGGATTGTCGAAATCCTCGGACGCAGCGCTGTTCTCCTGCAAGCTGGGCAGCACATGCACTGATGCCGCGCTGGTGTGGGTGCGACCGCTCTTTTCGGTAGCTGGGACGCGCTGCACGCGATGCACGCCAGCTTCGCAGCGGAACACACCGTACGCGTTCTCCTGGTCGATCTCGAGGATAGCCTCAGACAGCGGAACGCCAGCTTCCTGGGTGCCATTCGTGTTCTCGTATTTGAGCAGTGTAGCGCGGAAGCCGTTCCGGTTGCAGAAGCCTTGGTACATGCGCAGAAGGTCACCAGCGAATATGGCCGCCTCAGAGCCACCAGCCCCGGGCCTTATTTCCAAGAGACATGGCAGGTGGGCAAAAGGATGTACCGGGACGAGCGACGTAATGAGACTTTGCGATGCGGTCTGAAGTTGTTCGCGTGTCGCTCCGAGGTCGTCGGCGGCCAATTCGCGCAGCTCAGCATCGCTGCTGGGGTCTTGTATCAGGGACGTGAGCTCTGCCACAGACTTAGCACATCAGCATGAATTGGACCAACAGCTGCCGAGCCTGCATGAGGACTTACCTCGTGTGCCTGCTCCCATGCACCCAGTGCATCCACGATGGGGCCACACTCGCCCACCCTCTTCGCCGCGCGCGTATCGAAGCCACTTGCGAGTTTTTCCGTCAAGTGCTTGTGCTCGAGCGCGATTCCCCGGGCGCGCGTGAGCAGTGCTGGAGGGACGGTTGCTGGTGCAGCAGCTGCAGCATTGTGAGCGGACTTCTGGAAAGAGCAACCATGGCGCCTACCTGAGGACTGAAGTCGCACCTGCCCTCCGAAAGCCGGCCGAGCGAGGCGAGCCAGACAGCTTCGGCAGATCCAAGACGTTTTCAACATTCCCGGAGGTCGATTGCTACACACTTCGCCGCTGGACGATGCCGCGGGCGCTGGCAGACGCGCTTTCCAAAAAAAAAACGACGCTTGGCGGAACGCGCTGCACGTGATGCGTTCATCTGCCCAGGCGTCCGACCTCGGCAGCTCATCTGGCCCCGACCGCCTCGCCAATCTGTGCCCTCCTCCGCGCCTCGGTCGCGCCCGCCGCAAACGTCATGAAGCCCCTCCATTGGCGCGGGGGCTTACATACTGCATGTTCCCCGTCGGCAAGCCCAGCGGCAGCGCTGTCCTCCGCAGATAGCCGGACGTGATTGGAGATACGAGCTGTACTAAAGACAAGGCGAATGCCAAATGCAATGCAATGCACTTTCACATACAAACGCGCCTTCATCTCGTGCCGGCTCGCGATACAAGCACTGACTACCAAGAACTGCTAGACCCAAGATACCCCGCCGTTGCTACACCATGGGCACCAACGTGTACCCCCACCCTGAGCCCCAGTTCGTCAACTTTCCCAGCAGACGATCTGTGATACACAGCACGAAAGGCATTGTATCATGCACCCAGCCTCTCGCCAGCGCCGCTGGAATTGAGGTGCTCCGTAAGGGTGGAAATGCCGCGGTATGCTACCATCACTCGCACGTGGACAACATGCACTGACAGCGGCAGGATGCCGCCGTGGCCGTGGCGGCTGCCATCAATGTCATGGAGCCTGGATCCACGGGAATCGGTGGTGACATGTTTTGCTTGTTCTACGACGCGAAGACCAAGAAGGTGTCTGCCATGAACGGCTCAGGTCGTTCAGGCAAAGACGTCACGCTCGATAAGATTCGGGGTGCTCTGAAGATCAAAGACGGGGAAACTGGACAGATCCCCATGAGTAGTGTACATGCTGTGACGGTACCGGGCGCTGCAGCTGGTTGGGTTGACTGCGTTGAACGGTTCGGAAGCAAAAAGGTCACGTTAGAAGACGTCCTAGCACCCGCTATCGAGCTCGCCGACAAGGGCTATCCGATCTCTGAGCTCTCTGCTACATTCGTGAGTCGACGTGAATTCATCTTCGTTCCACAGCTAATTTCATCCAGTGGGCGAACAGTGAGAAGTCAATCAAGCAGGCATCGCCCAACTTCGCCGAAATCCTCAAAAAGGACGCTTCCGCTCAGGATGGCTGCAGAGCGCCAAAAGCAGGCGAAATAATGCGCAACCCGACCATAGCTAATACATTCAAGCTCCTTGCCAAACACGGGAAGAAAGGCTTCTACGAGGGTGAAGTAGCCGAGCAGCTCGTAAAAGTGGTCTCAGATCTCGGCGGCTTCCTCACGCTCGACGACCTAAAACACCACGCAGAGGCTGGATCCGAGCCCGTTGACCCCATCTCCCTCAAGTACACTGGCCAAGGCGTCGGTTCCAACACTGACGGCGGCGTCGAACTCTGGGAGCATCCACCCAACGGCCAAGGTATTGTCGCCCTGATGGCCCTCGGCATCATCCAAGAACTCGAAAAGCAAGGCAAGATCCCTACTTGGAGCTACAAAGACCACAACAGCACGGCCTACCTACACGCCGTTATTGAAGCCCTTCGCATCGCGTTCGCCGACGCACACTGGTTCGTCACCGACCCCAACGTCGTCAAAGTCCCCTCCGCAGAGCTCATCTCCTCGTCCTACCTTGCCGAGCGCGCAAAGCAATTCGATCCTAAAAGTGTCATCTCCGCTCCCGTCCACGGCTCCCCCGCGCACCTCCAAAGCGACACCGTCTACTTCTGCTGCTCCGACTCAGAAGGCAACGCCATCTCCTTCATCAATAGCAATTACGGCGGCTTCGGCACCTGCATCGTGCCAAAGGGCTGCGGCTTCACGCTACAGAACCGTGGCGCGAACTTCAGCCTAGCTGCCGACCACCCGAATGTCCTCGCCCCGCGCAAACGCCCCTACCATACCATCATTCCTGGCCTCGTTACCTATGCGAAGGACAGTTCGCTGCACAGCGTCTTCGGCGTCATGGGCGGCTTCATGCAGCCCCAGGGCCATGTGCAGGTGCTACTCAACCAGGAAGTCTTCAAGCTGAATCCTCAGGACGCGCTGGATTCGCCGCGGATCTGCATCGGTGCTGGTATGCCCGGTGACGATGGGAAGATGACCGACGCGACGGTGTACATTGAGGAGGGCATTGATGCAAAGGTTGTGGAGGAGTTGAAGGCGCTGGGACATAATGTGCAGAAGTTGAGTGGATATGGACGGGGTATGTTCGGGCGTGGGCAGATTATTAGGCAGCACTTTGATGATGGGGTCATGGTGTGGAGCGGGGGGAGTGATTTGAGGGGTGATGGGGCGGCGGTCCCGCAGTAGGGGCGGGTAGAGTGGATGTCAGATGCTCGATTGATGCAGCCCACTATACCAGGATGCAAGTACAACCATTGGACAACGACAGGGAAAACAGCAAGTAACAAGTTCGTGTTGTCGGACCATTTGTCGTGCTGAAAAAAACCCAAATGATCACTATGTAAAGTCCGATCCGCACGTAGAGCTACCTCTCACTCAGCTTCTTCCAGGAATAGCACAATATGTATTTCACCATCACACTAGTGTTGCCTCCAACTCCGGCCCTAAACTTAGCCTCCACAGCTATGGCTCCTAATCCTGGCCTCAGCTCGGCGCCCATGGCTCCACATGCAACCCGGCACCCAGTTCAGCAAGTGGACGGTCTACCAAACGATTTCAGGAGTCACAAAACAGGACGCTGGAGTGAAGGGAGTGGAAGCTTCATTACGCAGTGTGCTCGCCAGCTTTCTACAGGATCCAACCCACCAGTCCATTCCATGGCTTCGTCTACTCCATTGAGGATGCTCGCCTTTCCACGAAAGTTGACGGACACAAGCACAACGTCGCCTAGTATTACGATGACGCTTAACCTCCAAAACGCCACCCTCGCATCAACTTTCACTTTCTCACCCCGAGTTACGATTATGCTTGAACATCACCTCAGCGTGTGGTGCTCTTGTTCCTAAACATCCGCAACGCTACGTTCAACACCACTACAATATATGTTCCTTACGACCCGTTACAATGGTGTTTGAATTTCTCACAGGCTCCTACAGGAACGAAGATGCAGAAGCTTAGCCATGACTTGGACCACATGCTTGCTGGCTTAAGCAGAGCTTTTGCTACCTTGGGATCCTAGTGGCGCGAGGAGCACTTTCAGGTTGAGCTTTGAGTAGTTAGATTCTAATATGAAGTTGAGGTAGAAAATACCACACCAGGCCCTCAACTTTGCAACCTCAACTTGAGCGTAAAAGGTATCATTACTGACAGACTTTCACTACCGAGTGGAGTCTATGCGCATAAGACAGCGTTGGAACACGCCTCTCAGACCACTATGGTATGTGCTGTCTAGTTCACTCGCACCGTCACGCTACTGTCGACCTCGCCAGGTACACATAATCGAACACACTTCTCCCAACAACCATTTTCGACTCTTGTAAGTAGCCCATCTACCCACCTTAAACCGGCAACTTGACCTTTGAGATCAGCTGAAAATCTCGCACATTTCAGTCCCACGATGTCAGCTCGCATTAAAGTCTCTGAATAACCCCAGTAATGTCGCCATGATAGACTCCGACAATATTGACATGATGGATGTTGACCCCTCCCGGTGGAAGAGCGCAAGCACCTACCCAGCATCCTAACATTGCCGAAGAACACCGTGTGGATAGTTTCCATGCCTCCGAGCTACCCATCTCCCCGCAAACTCAATGGGATACCATCATCATCATCCACCCCAATAGGGTGGTGGCTTCGTAGCATGCAGATCCACTTTGGGCCGCCAACGGCGTCAAAGGAAGCCTGAGAGCGGACGCGGAGGCTGGCGACCCTCACCTCACCGCGCACTCCTTTTACTCTTGGACCATGCCTTGTCCAACTCCGAAATCATCTTCCTGATCGAAGAGATCATCCAGGCTGTCCTCAGCACGCGGATCATACTCCTCCCCTCTTTCGGCTCGAAGTGATGGTAGAGGATGTGGCGTACCAGGTTCTTATAGTACACCCACTTTGTTTTACCCATCACGCGGCTCACGAACAGGGACATCTGCAGAACGATCTTGCGCGGCAGCTGCGGTATCCTCCTACCTTCCCCGGGCTTCGGCGTGATGATGAAGAGACGATACGGCTAATGACGTGGATCTCGCAGGATTGGTGACGGAGACTCAGGGTCGTCAATGGAAAGCCGCGATCCACTAATAGCGATCGCGAGGGCAAAGACGATGAAGAGAAATTCTTGACGGAGGTCTGCCGAGTTGCTCTCGACTTCTTGGACAACTGGAAGAGCGACATGCCGATCCGGGAAGGAGCGTGCCCACGCTACCTTCAGCGTTTGGAAATATGTCAGTATAGCCGAGGCCAGAACGCCCGGTGCAGAGTGGATGGCTTCAAGTATCCTTCTCGGGTTGGCTGATATAGATGACAGTCAAAGGTTTTGAGGTGTTGATTTCTGTGTTGCAGCGTATACTCTCGGGCTGTGATTCACTACGAGATGGAAGTATCAATGATTCCGCCTCTGGTTGACGGGAATCTTGTATCACACAATGCTGCGAAATTTCCCCCGTTGTCTACAATATGCAGACGTCTTCTTCTAAACAATACAGCCACCTAACAATTCGAGTGATAATTTAAGTGATGTCAAAGCAACGGTGCTTTCGTTCCGGTGGTTCGCTTGGAGAAATATGCCTCCGTCATAGAATACGGCGGCCGAGAGGCTGCGCCGCTATCGAATGCCAAAGGTTTTATATAACCATTAGCTCAAATTACAATGGCTCGAGTTGCTAAAGAAAGCTTCGTAGAAACGATGAAAGGAATCATGATCGTAGAACAACGGAGAGGTCGCATTTGCCTCATACGCACAGCCGGTGGCAGATCGGAGCTATACCTGATTTGGATTAGCCATCCATGATTAGAAAAGCGCCGTCTTACAGGCGCCTTACTTTGTGATGCAGATTCATATGACACACGGAAGTAATCGAAAAGTACGTGAATCATGCGCAATGAGTCCAGCAGCGCTTTCGACATCTCTGGCCATCTCTCTCAAGCTATCTGCATTCGACCAGTGCGAGCAGCCGCATTAGCAAGGGCCTCCCAGCTGTGACGCGCCTGCTCAGGGTTCTTCGTTCTCTTGTCGAGACTTCCCCACTTGGAATCTCAACGCGACCACCCCGGAAACGATACATCGGCCACATTCCAGCACCCGCCACCACAACCCGCAACACCTCGCATCCCTCGCTCAATAAATTCGCCGGGTGCCGTCCCGGGACACGCCCTATGGATCAATCACCATCTCAGTCGCCGCTCACACAACCTGATTCTGAAGAACCAGAGACAAGTCGTCGAGAAAGGATGTTACACGAATTTCCGCGTGCGCACGTGACCAACCTCGGAGGTGGTACGATCGGTCCCGTCTACCTCACTTGCGCGCAGGATGGAAAGGTTCTCTTTGCCGAGGCCCGGTTATATCATGCGCCTTTCACACACATGGTCATCGACTCGCCGGCGCTTCTGAGCATGTTCAAGAGTCCCACACAGAGGGTCGACATCGAGGCCTTGGGCCATCCGTGGCCTCGATTCCGCCTCGAGCCTCGCGAGAAATTCAATTTCGATGTTGCGCGGCTAACGCGGGAAGAGTACGTGCGATCTGGGAACAAGTTAGAGTACACTGTGAAGGGCAGCCCATACGTCTCAACAATGGAAGTCACGGCAACTGAGCCGGCCGCGAGGAAGAGATCGCAGCCAATCGTCTCGAACGAAGTTCAAGGCACACGACATTCTGAGCGCACGTCGGGAAGGAAGAAAAGAATATCTAGCGATACGTATCAGAAACAAGTCAGTCTGCCAGTTACATCACCAGCAAGTCCTTCACCTGGCGCATCTGGAGTTTACACTGTCGCCACAAAGCTCGATGAGACCCAGGCGGAAGCCGTCATTGGCAAGATGGCTGTTCTCAAGGGGAAGATATTCGGTATGCTATCCGCTGACGATCGGTCCACGTATGAGTGGGTCCTTACGACAGGGCTGAAGAGGCAAGGGAAGGAAGGAGCAAAATTCAGAACCATCGTTGCGGACAAGCTGCGAGAGCTTATGTTTTCGCAAGGCGAGAGGTCGAAAGAGCTACAGACATTGCATAACCAATATGCGGACTTGCAACGGCAACTGGAAAAGAGATGGCCGTATCATCTGCCACATATCGAAAAGCTTATCGTCTAAAAGGAGGCATGCTGCTGGTGTTATTTAAGTTTTCGGTGGATTTGTACTATTAGCATCTTCCAGGCGAGTACTGGTGTCAGGATATGCATATTCGCTTGGAGTTTGGGTATGGTAGCCGTCGGTGATGCGGCTTCATTGTTGTAACAATATGTACTCTGCATTCACTATCACATTGATCGAACCTCAAGTGTATCACACCAGCGAAACCTATGTCACCGCCGTTTGACTGCCACCTGATTGCGCTAAAGAAAGTTACGCGTGCTTTCTTACTGTAGCAAACGCAAACCGTTTTGAACCTCAAGTGTACATCTCCGACCTCCTGAGCAAAAACTCAGTAAACCCTCAACGCGCGTTCAAAGCCGACGACATGACAACACCCGCCGCGAACTCGCACGCCCGTAAGAGGGCCATGCCGCCAACTTCCCCGTCCGGGAAACCAGTCCCCTCGTCACCAGCACTGCTCGCGCAGGCCAATCCCGTACCCGGCTCGCCCACTTCAGAGCTGCAGACCCCCCGCGAAAGGCGCAGCATCAGCAACCGCTTTTGGGAGAAGAACGGATCACGCGCGAAAGACGGCACGTCTGGCGTCGACCTCGCCAGCGACTCCAGCGACCCCGACGACGATTCCGAGGCGGCGCGCATCAAGAAGCACGACCACCTCCACACCAAAGTCAAGAGGCTGCTCGCTCTGGAAACAACTGGAGCTATTCGACTGAAGACCTTGGAGTCCAACAAAACAGTCCGCGAATACAACAAGTTGCTCGACGCTTTCGCGCACAAGCCGAAGACGAAGAGGAAACGCGCGCAGTGCACGGAGACGTTGCGACTGTTTTTGGAGGACCACGATCAGATTATCGATCTGTATAATCAATACGCCATACTGGATCACGGCCTGCACAAGGATCGCATTCTGCCAGAGTTTATGCGGGACGACGACCGCTCCGCCTCAGCCAAAAAGATCGAGCAGGCCCAGGCGAGCAACGTGCGGCGCGCACCAGCTAAGCATGCGTTGAACAAGGAGGACGACAGCGACGAGGAAGGGGTTGTGTTGCAGACGGTCAAGAGTGGCGAGGGCTTTGATGAGCCGAGTGTGTTCAATACTAGGGGTTTGACGGTGCCGAGTATCTTCAATCGGAAGACTAGTGCAACGGTGGAGAAGGATCAGAGGAGGTTTCTGCTGCATAGGAGGGATGGACCCTTGACCAGAGACGCTGAGGGTGATCAACATGTCCTCGATGAGCGGACAGCCGGGGATCAGGAAGAGACTCCGACGCGGCCACCGACCAAGAAGAGAAGGTTGGGTTAGTGTGTGAGACTGTATGGCTGGATTATGGGGTTTTGACAATGGCTTTCTAAGGTCTATGTGGTACATGTATGATTCTAGGCGATTGGGTATTCAGGGCAAACCTTCTTCTACGTTGCTCCTTTCCTTTTCCTGTAGATCCCGTGGAGCCTTTCAGCGCGGGACCCCAAACTCTGGGAGAAATTTCATGGGATCGTCTCTCGTCCACAACTCGTACTCATTCTCTTTTGTCATCCATACGATTCCGACCATGACAGCTGAGTTCGCAGCCATCTCCCCGTCCGCGATGCGTCCGACCCTTCGAGGGATAACCATGAGCCACCTCTTAGTCAGGACGACGTTGTGCGGTGCCTGGTTCCCTAATGCGAGTCGATTTCGCAGACTCCGGTAGATTTTCACGAGCGCGTATGCGTCTGCTTCCTGGGGTAGCTTCTGGACAGCATGTTGAAAAGGCACATCCGGATGGATGTAAATATCTAGTTATCGTTAGCCACCGATGCAGTGCTGCGTACAACGATGATCCGCACCTTCTCCCAGTTCTACCGAATCAGGAAACATCTCAAAGTCTTCCCTTCCAGGATGCGGCAACACCTGCATATGCTTATGCCCGACGCTCGCGCCTGCATCAACGCCGCAGTTGAATATCGCAAAGTGCTCGCTTTGCAAATTCCCCAACACGTGCCACAGTGCGCTCAGATCAGCCACACTGAGCGGCGTTTGCTGCGGCTCAAAGTCAACAGTATGAATCACAAACTGCGGCCGCACGACACAGAACTTATTCAGTATCAGCTTATGACTGGGCCCGACCAGGCCAAGGCTGAAATCTGGGTTGTCGTCGTCGAAGGCATTGGACACTTTCTTCTGGTGCCGTGTAGCCGACTGTGGCTTCTTGGCGAGACTTGATGCGACGCGGAATTGGAACTGTAAGCTCGATCAGAATCAAAGGGATAGTATTGAATGATGTGGGGCACTCGCATTGAACGGCGTGGACTTCACATGGCGCGCTTTCACCTCCGTCCATAAAAGCTCACCCGCTTCGACCAGACGATCGAACTGCGATAGCGCTTGTTGCTCCAGGTCTGCTATACTGCCCATAGCCGTTTCGTGTGGTTATAAAATTGCAAGATGCTTGTTATCTCGCAGGATTCCAGATGAACGCATTTGCAAGTCGTGAATGCTGACGTAATAGCGCCTGAACGCTAGTTTCGGTTAGGACCCCCTTCCACCTACTTGTGCACCATTCTTACTGTCTACATGAACAAGCCAGACCTTACTTTTCCGTTTGATATTGGCTTGGGCTTGAAACCTTCGCTGCAAAGGGCACCCACGAAAGAGACCCAGGCTCACGCACTCCAGTGCTTCGGCTCTCGTCTCAAATGCGCGTTATCAGGTAAATTTCTTTGCTGTTCGTGAAGAATTCATGATTCGGAGCTCTTTCCTTCACTGGTACCTCAACCGTGCCCGCCTGCTTCCTGCCTTAACTTATCCTTCGCCTCTTCTCGCTCCGCCAAAAACTTCAATAGAAAGATCGAAGCAAGTTCCAACACACTAATTCCACTTATCACACAAAACCGCATCTTGAACCTTGGCTCATACTTCCCCACATCCAAGATCATCACCGTGTGTAGCAATCACCTTCAGTTCCTTCTTCGACAGTGGTATAGGCTTCCTCCTCTCTAACGCGCTTATACGCGCACTGTGTATTTTCGGTTCGTCTGCTGGCATCCACCGCGCCTTTGTCGTATATGAATTGTCTGGGATCGAGTAGAAACCCCAGAACGGACCCCAGATACTGATAATCCCGCAGAAGATGAACAACCACTGCCATCCAAATAGTCCAGCGGTGCCGTCCATGCCGCGGTAGATGGCGGCTTGTAGGTAACCACTGAACATTCTAGCAGCCTAGGATGCAGAGTAGAAAATCGCGAATCGCTTGAACAGCTCGCGCGGCGTGTACCATGAGCCCATGAGAGTAAGGACGCCCACGGCGAAAGGGGATTCCAGCATGCCGAGGATGAAACGCAGGGCAAAGACGGTCTTAACGTTCGGCACGCCCTCAAAGCAAAAGGTTGAAATTACCAAAAGCAGTTTAACAGTTAGGGAGGTAGACTGAAGGGCGGATCCGAGTAAGGAGAAATTGAGACGGGAGATGGCCGACCCTGAATCACAGTCAGTTCGATGGGTGAATCGAAGTCTGCGCATGGTCACGAACTTACAGGTACCCACATGTGAGAAAGTGGTGAGCAAGTTGCACTGGTTCCCATCGAAATTGAGGCCCTCTTTCGTCCAAGACACATACGTATTTGTGATTTTGCCGGAGTCCAGCAGCCGAAAAAAGCACCCAAAAGTCGCCCAGCTCATCACATACACATCAAGACGTTGCATCAGCATTCGCTCTTTCGGCGTGCGACTTCCCCCATTTCAAATTACCTCATGCGCTTTCTGCCATCTTTTCCGTGGAGAAAATGCTTCTGTGGAGGCGTGATAGCTGGCAGGGTGGACTTGGATGAGAGTTGTTTTCGGAGGGCTTCCTACTGGTGCCGTGGTGGTCACAGGTATCGAAGGATCGCCCATTGGGAACTGGCAAGCGGTGTGCATAGTTGGTTCAGCATTGCCCTTATAGATGTCATGCTGGCCGTGTGTATCTGCCAGAGATAATGCAGTGATGTCGCCTCGCTCGAGTGTTCGCGCCACATCGATCCAATACGATGGGTCTCTTTGTCTTTGGAACGGTCTTTTGGTCTTCGCCACTGCTGAAGCTGAGATGGCTGGGAGAGAACATGCCAAAACCATTTAAAAAGATTCGCTTCTTTGAGGGCCCTTCATCAATTTTGTTGGATTTTGATGTCATATTGACTCGCTTAGTGAGGAGAGACTCCTGTGGAATTAGGTGCGGGCAGGCGTTGCTGCTTGGCGAGCTGATTGCGATAACTTCTCAGCTGGCATTTGAAACATGGGCAGGTGCTAAGGAGACGTGGCTTCGCATACGGTGTTGCCTGTCATCAATGTCTCTCCGAAGATCCGGGACATCCTTTCCGGTAGTCATGGGTAGTGTCGATAGTCTTCGCGATCAAGAGTGGCTGCCGTTGACGCTACATCTGCCAAAGTGACGTGCTGCGGTAACAATCTGACTCACTTGAATAACATCCGGGGAATTGCTGGGATGCATTGCGCGTAACATCGACTTAGTATGGACAACAAGAGATGTGAATGATGGTACGGCAGAAGAAGGCTTGGACTTGACACCGTGGCTGCAGGAAGGGGCACTCACTGGGAATGTAGATTTGACACAGTACCACGTAGGCTGGTGGGATGTGTGAGTAAGCTCAGAAAGTCATAGAAGAGAAGCGACCCATTGAGGTCACGGGTGCAAGGAGAGGGTAATCGAGGACACATTCATTGCCTGTAAAATCTTGTGAATGTCACTTCGGTGCGCAAGCGTGCTACTATCGCAATATCGATGATGCATTGCAAAGGATGAGACGAGTCTATAGAGCAGAGGTCTATAGGTACGCTAGTCGGCGGCTAATCCCTAGCGTGGCCGCAATTCACCACGACGACACCATATCATGCGAGGGTCGCTTACCGACATCACTTGCAACTTACGTCGAGCCTCACCTCCTCGTGGAAATATCATACACATATGACGTGCATCTGGATGAGTGCTCAGGCACATTCCCCATTCTATCGATCGTGAAAGCGGGGTGCCGAGACACCGAACCCCACAATGCAAGCCTCGAGTTGAGCCACGTATACAAAGGATGGCGCCACTATATGGGGCTGTGCGTGCAGCATGTGGACCCAAATGTCTCGCCCATCGAACGGCCTCCAAACATTCGCTTTCGTGCGACGTCGAAGGTGTCGACGAGAGCTGAAATGTCGCAGTTAAGCCTTGTCAAGCCGGAAGAGCGGCATGATATATGTCGCACAGCCACAACATCAAGGCTATCTGTTGCACGAGTGATCACAGTGCGATCGCGTGGGTGTAAACAAAGTACAAGGCGCTATCTATCCGGTGGAGAAGATCCACTTTAATCCGCTGAATGCGGGCATACCCGCGGACCCTGTGGAAAGTGTAAACGATCACTCAAGGCGGTAAACGCTTTCTTGGACAATATATAAAGCCACATCTCTGCCACAGTCTCTGCCACATTCGAGGCACTTTTCAATCATAGTCGAACTACCGCCACTTCTTTCTTCCTCGATCACTCGTCTCAAGCCACTCCTAACCTTTCATCATGACTTTCCACTACTCTGCCGAGGAGGGATCCATCCGCGTCGATGACAACCACATCCTCCGCGCTCGTCTCCAGCGTGCCGACGGCGAGTGGCAGGACGCTGAGATTGACCTTAACAACCACATCGGAAACGACAACGGTATGCCTTCATCAAAGTGATGTCATTTCCTTCCATTCCTCTGCCCTTTCCTCATATGTCTACATAACTCAACAGCACCGGTATTAATATCGAACCAGGCTCCTTCTTCTGGGACGGCGAGAACTTTGCCGACTCTGCCCAGGACGTCCACTTCACTATCGAGGGCGACGGTGAGGTCCCGGTCCTCCGCGCTACTTTGCTCAACGAGGATGGCGAGGGCATCGAGCGCGATCTCAACCTGTCCGAGCGCATCGTCAACAACGATGGCAACTTCCTCTTCAGTGAGTGATGATCAAGTAACTCATGTTTAGGAGCCAGTGCTCATAGACTTTTGCAGACTAGAAAGTGAATAAAGCGGGTGGTGATCAGGGGGCTATATGATGCATGCTCTGGTCAGTTTGGAGTTTCATCTGACTTGTTGTCGTAAGCTATTGACTAGGGAAAGCCAATCGCTTAGTAATGAAATACATGAACGGCTCAATGAATGCATGAATATATCCACGAAAACGTCGTTTTCCATCTGATGCTGTGAAAGTGTGACTCTCTACGTGGCCATACCTGAAGAGCAAGTTTATTTGCTTACGGGACTTGATCTGTATAGCGCCAAGGATTTGGTGGATTTGAAATGTCCATGAGGGTCAATTGATTGACCAAAGTTCGTCCTTCTGTTGATTTTTACCA